CCTGCTATTATTTTGGCTAAAGTTCTAATATGCAGACAACTTCCAAATATGTTCTAATTTCTCCAATTTCTCATCCAGTAGAACTTCCAAGGCATTTCTGGTGCCATGATTGTGATGACCACAGGCATGGACTCATCCTCAAAATCCTTATACATATGTATACTCCAACTTAGAAGTCAGCATGAGTTAGAGTGAGCATGTGTGAACATGTGGCAGGCATTCTGCAATTATGCCATTGAGACCGTCACCGTGCCAACATCACAGCTGCAGCTTTTATTCCTGTCCTCCAGAGAAAGGAGAGCCACCATGGCCTGGAGAAACCATGGCAAGTCCAAAATAGCTCTAGGGAAGTCAACAGTTTTCCTCAGTTTTATACTGGGCCAGTTCCTTACTTACTAACTTTTCCTTTAAATATCAGAATTTAATAAGATTATAGTCAAAAGCCTATAATGGCCCGAAGCCATTTTAGCTCCTTCATAACACTTAGAGCCCCTCTTTTGATCATTTGAGTTTTTGCTCATTTCTTTTCTTTTCTAAAAAACAAAATTACATCTCAGTTGAATTTTGAGAAAGTAATTTATTAATTCCTTGGTTCTGTGGGCTTCATAAAATATATAGCCATGGTATTCTTAAAGAATAGTAGCCTCACATTTATAACACTATGTATAAACTTATGTATGTATAACAGAAAACATATTCATCAGGAATTCCCAAACCAGATCATGGAACACTATCCCGTAACCCATTTCTCTTATTTGCTTAGGAGGAGCAATGATGGGACATAGAAGGCAGGAGCCCCAACACTTTGGCTGTCACTGTCTCAGGGAGGCCCCAACCTTGACTCAGCATTGTGCAGCTCTGGCCCTTATCTGTCCCCTCAGTCTCTGACCCCACCCAGCTCTCAAGAGCCAAAGTCCCAAAAGAAGAAAAACACCAGCCTTTTCTACTTAAAAAAAAAAAAAAAGAAAGCCCTAAGCTACTAGCCAGAAGAACAAGAATAAAAAGAAAGAAGAGAGAGAAGGAAAAAATAAGAAAGATGAAGAGAAGAAAATTTGTCTAGTGAGAATGAGACTGGAGTCTTGCTAAGCGCTCTTTCAGAACCTTGGTCTACCGTCCTGAAAAAGGAAAGCTTCTTCCCATCATAGGTTTCTTAGACTCAATAAACTGGAGGCTGACATGGCTTACTTTCAGAACAACTATGCTGCGTTATGAATTTTGGGGCAAGAACAATCATTAAACTTTGCCAGCCTTGGACAACAAGCACCAGGTCCCAGTTTATCACAACACCCACTGGGGATGACCTTACTAAGGGATGCTAATGGGGTCTGACCATTGTAAGGATGGCTTTTATTGAATCTTTGCTTACTTGGCCAATTCTTAAATCTTTATCTTTTCCCATTGTTCAGGAATTGCCCCAAGATATAACTTCCACACAGGACACTGGAAGTGCTGAAGAGGCATGCCTAGGCAACATTTTATACCAAATTGAAGACATCTTTCACTTTGTCAGCTAGAAGTACAAATGAACCCTAAGCACATAGTAGAACCATTTCCATCATATTTAGACATAGATTCTAACTTCTGCACATCAGCATGGCTTTTGAGCCAGCTTTATTCAGAAATTATTTAAATATTTAGTTAGTGTATACTTAAGAAGGACCACATTTGAAAAAAGTTCATCAGTTATTAATTGACTTAGTTAACTAGAAAAAACCAAAGAAATTTGCTCATTATCTAAGGTGTCACCTGAAGTGGTGTAAACTAAGGAAGACTGAAAACAAAAAGTACCCACCCTAAAAAAAAAAAAAAAAAAAAAAAAGAGTGTCTGTCTTTTTGACTATGTCAGAATGTTTTGATAGGTTGGTCTTCATTAATAGTATACACAAGCGAGAGTTTTTAACATAAAAAGGCAAGTGTTCTCCAAAATTTTAGTCCTGAAAATAGACAACTTTCTTTAATAAATGACTCAAATTAAAATAAAATACAAAAGAAACCAAGAAATCAAAGTGACATTTTTGGAGAAAATAGAACATTTATGACTTTCCTAGGTTACCAGCCCAGAGTATAAACTTCCAAGGCTGAAGGAAACAGAATAACTGGCTGGCTGTGGGTTTCTATTTTCTTTTTCTAGGAACAACCACTCTTGGTAATTAAAGCCCACACACATCTCTGCCTGGCTTGCTCAGTGCAGCTCCAGAGGTCAACCAAGCAGGTGTCAGCTCTGAACGAAAAAGGGAGGGAAGTCATGCTGAGAATGGGACGTGGCTCTCTCTACAATCCATTGGAAATCATGAGGTTTATGCCTTCCGTGTATCTGACACTGTCTGTAGCATGTTCCCCTATTTTCTGCAGGGAACTAGAGAAAGTTTGGAGCTGGTTACAGGGATGTTACCTTGATGCCATTAGCATTTAAGTCGTTTCTGGCTAATGCAACACTTAATAGTATTAATTGTTCTATCCCATCTACTGCTGTTCTGGGAATACAAATGCAAATGCACAATGGAAGCAATATAAGTGACCATTTCTTTCAGTTAGAATTGCAAAACACTTTCTCCTGTTCAGAAACTTCACTATAATTTTTCTGTTTTAAAACTACTTACGGCAAAGAACAACACTAGAGACTATTTTTTTCTTGGATAACACTAAAAAACTTGCATCAAAGAACCTGTTTTTACTACAAACAATGCATTTTTTGGTTTCCCATACTAATAACATCAAAAATTAGCATAGTATTTGATTCTTTTTTTTTTTTTAAAGAATAGGATTGAATCTAATCCCCAGCGCTTTGTACATGCTAGGCAAACACTGTATTGTTTGAGTCTCCAGACTTGGGGTTTTGAGACAAGGGTCTTGCTGTGTAACTTGGGCTGACAGCAATCTCTTTTTGTCTATCCCATTTTAAATTTGATAAACAAACATCTCTCTTAACCTAGAATTCCATTTTCCTAGGCTGTTTATGCTAGGCAAGGAAATCTTAAACTGGGACCAGAGAGCATTTTAAAATTGGTAGCTATAGTTGTTACAGATACCCTTACCAGCAACCTATATGGAATGGATATCGTGGTCACGGTAGATCTACCACTTAATCTAATGTGTCCATAAAAATTAGTGCAATATTACACTAATATTTAAACTGGTATGGAAATTACATGGACATTTTTGGTAATCCTGTGCATATGAGTTTATGCACACTATTTAGTAGTTAACAGCCTGCCAAGTTTAGTCTATGTCACACAAAGATAAGTTCACATCTGTATTAGCCATGGGTTAGAATCTGTTCCCAAAAGATAATGTAGGGTTAAAACCAAGAGCTGCGTAGAGATTCAATGGCTTGTAATGATGCCAACTGGGGGAAACTTTAAACTAGATTAGAGCTTCTGCAATCATAGAAAGAAAAGAAGAGGCATTAGCATATGTCAGAAATGGTTGTGTTATACACATAAGGAATCATCATAGAAGCCACAGCAGGCCAAAGATTATAAAGAAAGGCCTCTGTGTAAACTTGGAGTAGGATGACTTGAGAAACAGAAGCTGCACTGCTAAATGAGTAATAGCCAGTAGCACTTGGGACCCAAAACCAAACAAACAATGGAAGAAAATAGAACTAAACTATACGAAATGAAAGCTGTTGGAAAAGAAATTCTTAGGGTTATTAGGAGCATAGGGGGCAATAGAGGAGATAAAGGATAGATATATGTGCAGAACTGGCCAGAGGCAGGAACTTCAAAGGGCAACTACATTATGGCAATATAAGAGAACTTTCCCATCCATAGGAAAGCTGAACTATGCACAACTCTGCACCCTTCTCCCTCAATCACCAGTTCTCTCACCGCACAGCTATATTACTTTTGTAACTTCATTCCTTCATTTAAGTAAAGGGTGGATAATGCTCACTGTATTTCTAGATGTAGATTCAATAGAATGGTACAGAGACTAGCCTTTACACACATGGATGCAATTAAACACATGGACTTCTAATTTCAGGTCCAACATGTAAGAGCTAACAAGTAATCCCAAGAAGAGAGCAGAAATCAAGAACACCCATGAACAGAACCTTTGGCTATAACAAATGCTGACTATTCACAGATGTTGCTTAAGGTGACTGAGGCATCAGTTTGCTTCTTCCTCAGTTGGATCATGAAGCATAGTTTAAAGCCATTTCAGTTCCATCTCACAGCTGAGAAATATCTATATAACAATAAGCAAGGAAAGAACCCAGAACAATGTCTCCAAAGGAGTAGAGATCCACAGAGAGTTGCTAAGAGGACTCTCCAGAGCCACAGATAACGAACTTATTATTTTCTCTTTAGTGTTGCACTCTCTGCTTTATGTTTGGGAATCGAGTCCTTGGTCCCTTTGTTGATTGTTCGCTATTCTATTCATCTGCTAGATGCAAACATGTACAATTCTTGTCAACTTGGGGCAAGTTATATCAAAAAAGTATAGTTATAATCCACATATCTAAGAAAAGAAGGACTAGATATAATGTGGACACTTCTGTGTCCATAGAACAAACTCACTTTTTTTTCTTGAGTTTGTTCTTATCAATGTGACCACTCTTTACCTAAATGTTAAAGTTAATTTAGGCTTGAAATTTTTTTTTTCTATAATGGGTTAGGCTCCTCTCCTTCACTTGTTTTGGAAAATACAATGAGAGAGATGAGTGTTATATTAGAAATTTACAGGGAGAAAGTAGAGAATGAGAAGAGAATAAGTAAAAAAGAAAAATTTTTGCTGAAGGAGGAGCCAACAAAAAAAGAATGCCTCCATATCTACAGTGTATTATCACTATCTCAGTGTACAGTTACTGCTGACCCTCCCATGACCTGGCTCCACCCATGAGGACCACAGGTCAAACTGACCAATGGCTTCCGAGAATCATGCAGAACAAAGGACCAGAACAAAGGGCTATGAAGGATAAAAGGCCACCATTTCTAGCAGCAGCATGTACTTGCTTCTGACACTCCTGTGATCACCGGCAAGCTCCCAGACCTGACACCATGGTGAACTTTACTGCTGAGGAAAAGGCTCTCATCAATGGCCTATGGAGTAAGGTGAATGTTGAAGATGTTGGTGGTGAAGCGTTGGGAAGGTAAGAATTGCATATTGATTCATCTAGGTGATGGGTGAGTAGTACTTTGGACAACTAGGCAAGAAAGTCAAGGATTCTGAGGACCCCTGATTTTTCCATATGTTTTTCCTCCATTTCACAGGCTTCTTGTTGTATACCCATGGACCCAGAGATTCTTTGACAGCTTTGGGAACTTGTCCTCTGCCTCTGCCATCATGGGCAATCCGAGGGTCAGAGCCCATGGTAAGAAAGTGATGACTTCTTTTGGAGAATCCATTAAGAACCTAGACAACCTCAAATCTGCCCTGGCTAAGCTCAGCGAGCTGCACTGTGACAAGCTGCATGTGGACCCTGAGAACTTCAAGGTGAGCAGAGGGCAAGCTCACAGGTTTATCTGGGGCTTGTCTTGGTGGTGCCAACACAGATCTCAAAATTCACTGGTCTAGGCGGGGTGACAGTGAATGGCTGTAAGAAGCCTTTAGAATTTTTTTAAATAATAGAATGTTGTTGTAATTATCACGGAGAGTAATGTGAAAGGATAGCAGGTCTGTGTAAGAAGAAAAAGAATCTGAAAAGAAAAAAGAAGTTAACTTTCTGTAGGTCTTAATGATTGATGTTGAAGAAAAGATTTGGGAGGCAATTTAAAGATGGAATTTCTCTGTCAACATTATAAAAATATATTAAAATCCCAAATGAATATTATAAAAAATGGAGGGTTTTTCCTACACCACCAAGATCAGATGTAGCACAGAAATTCTGTATTTCCAGATATTAGACAACAGGTAAATGAGAAAAGTAGGAGGAAAGGCAAACAAAAATGATGGGAAAAAGAGGTGTGAGAATTCAGGTAGGACAGTGGTGAGTGGGCAGACAGAGTTATGTTAGAGATATTAAACCTTCTTAGTCAGAGATGACTAAGAACTTTGATGCTGAATGTGTTAAACAGTATAGGTTCAAAGCATTTCTTTGTTTTTTTATGGTTATTCCTTTCTGAATCTTCATCTAACACAACAACCTGTTTCTTTTGTCTTCCCTTTAACAGCTCTTGGGTAACGTGCTGGTGATTGTTCTGGCTAGTCACTTCGGCAAGGAATTCACTCCGGAAGTGCAGGCTGCCTGGCAGAAGCTGGTGGCTGCTGTGGCCACTGCTCTGTCCCTCAAGTACCACTGAGCCCTCTCGCTGTCCAGCAATCCTGTGTGTCCCCTCTGCTCCCTTGCCACACGTGTTCTGGACTGATCCTTGATAGCACAAAATGTTTAATAAAGATCATTCTTCCCAGTAATCAAAACCAAGTCATTTTGTCTTGTCTGTTTTTTTTTTTTTTATTAAGCGAAGGAAAAAAAAATATTTGATGTATTTGTGGAAAATGAGAAGCACAGGAAGGCACCTGAGTTTCTCTGAAAACTGGAGGGACTCGAGAGAGGAAAACAGATGCCGTGTAAGGTATCTGCAGGCCAGGAAGAGTCTAAAGAGTGAGAGGATTCTCAAAGAGAAGAAGAATGCGTTGACGTGGTAAAGAAGGAGCTGTGTATGGAACACATGAAAACCTACTATAAAGGGTGACAAGTGACGTCTCACAGGAGGTAGTGACTTCCCATTTCCATTAAGAAAGAGCTTTAGTCACTGCAGGGCTAAGCACATCCGAGAGGGGGAGATGAGAGGAGGGGTGTGGGAATGAGACTGGAAGGAGAGGAGGGAGGTGGCTGGGATCAGAATGTAAGGTGGTTAAATTAATAAATAAATGCAGAAAAATATACAAATATTTTAATATATAAGAAAAAAGCTTTAATCTAATATCTAAGATATGATCATTATTTTAAATTATATAATGTGCATTTTCTTCTAAAAAGGATTTATTGGGTAGCCAACTGATATGCTCTTCCCTAGGGAAGACTTTTGTGGCAGCTCTCAGCATTCCTTAGTTGTCTGTAGTTCTCTGTTGAAGTCTCAAGGACTTCCCCATCCACGTTCATGTGTCTCAGTAAACTCCCTGATCCTCTGGCTCTTACTGTCTTTTGTCCCTCTTCTTTACTGCCCCCAGGCCTCAGGTGCGGGAGAGTTTTGTAGATGTATTCAATGGGACTGGGCTTCACAGCTGTACAGTTTGATTGGTTCTGGGTTTCTGCAGTGGCCATCATCTACAGTAGAGACTGTTGTAAATGAGAGAAGAAGAAAATCACATATGAATACACGTACGCAATGACAATAGCAATGGAAGACATAATTTGAAAGGTGGTCAGGAGGGCATACAGAAGGATTTGGAGGGAGAAAAAGGAAGATGTGCTGTAACTATATCATAATTTCAAAGAAAAAGTTTTAAAAAGCTTTCATTATTTTAAGTTTTATGAGTCTTTATTTGTGTTTGTGTGTGTGAAAAAGAGGTGCTCCTAGGAGCCAGAGCTATTGCTTTCCCCTGGGCCTGGGCTTCAGGTGGTCATTTGGCAGTGTTGGCAGATCTGTGTACATTACTACCATCTCACAAATGTCTTATCTTAAAGATATGTAGTAGTTTTTCTCTCTTACTGTATTTTCTTTTCCTTCCTTCTTTCTTCCTTCCTTCCTTTTTTTTTATCATTTATTCATTGTATATTCCAATTGTAGCCCACTCCATCAACTCTTTCCAGTTTCATCCTCCCTCCCTCTTCCCCCATTCCATTTCCCTAGTCTACTGAAAGGGGGAGTTCTCCTGCCTGCCATGTGCCCCTATTAAGTCTCATCGGGACTGCCTGGATCCTCTTCCTCTGTGGCCTGGCAAGGCCGAATCATCAGGGGAAGTGATCAAAGAGCAGGCAACCGAGTTCATGACAGAGGCAGCTCCTGCTCTCCTTACTTGGGAGCCCCCAGAGAGACTGAGCTGTCTATGGGCTACATCTGAGCAGGAAGTCTATGTTCTCTCCATGCATGGCCCTTAGTTGCTGCATCAGTCTCTACAAGATCCCCTGGGCTCAGAATTTTTGGCTTTTTTGGCTTCCTTGTGGGGCTCCTGTCCCTTCTGTGTCCTTCTATCCCCTACCCACCTTCTTCATAAGACTCCCTGTGTTCTGCTCAAAGGTTGGCCCTGAGTCTCAGCATCTGTTTTGATACCCTGTTGGGTGGATTCTTTCAGAGGACCCTCTCTAGTAGGCTCCCATCCTGTGTCCTCCCCTCCACAACTTCTGGTGTCTATCCTGTTTGCCATTTGAATGAAATATATGCATCCTCCCTAGGGTCCTCCTTGTTCAGCTTCTTTGGTCTGTAGATTTTATCATACTGTATTTTCTATACTTACACACCTATAAAATCCCTCCTACCACTATATAGAAAGAGCAAAGAAAGTGTAAGGGCTGTTAGTAGAAAGTGAAAACTAGGAATGATTTTTCTAATGTGTAATTCTGTCCCAGCTGTCACAGCATATGGACTGTTACCGGATAGACATGTTGCCTCTGACTTCAGAGTAATTAAAAAAAACACACAAAAGCAGTGACAGAGTCTGGTTGAAGCCAAAAGAAAGATCACTTATTCAGCATTCTCAGTACTTAACCTTCCATGAGCACAGAGAAGGCAGAGCACACACCCTGTATTACCAGGCAGCTACACTTATCCAGTGAGAATGCTTGTTGCTTAGTATCAACGCTACAGTGTATTCAGATGGTGAAAAATATTGTTCACACACAGCAGATGAGCCAGGTTCTAACACACCACAGTGTTCTATTCCCACTCAGACACAAAAATGTCACAGGAGCTGCTTGCCCATGGCTGTTGGGAACTAGGAAGATCGTGGCCTGAACCATAGAAAAGGCATCCAACGGTTTGCTCACCACTTCTTTCTTTTACACGGCTTGTGTGTAAGAGGCGTATTTCTGTCACTCTGGTCCTGAGCCCCATGCCTCAAAAGAGCATCATACTCTCTGAGGCTTTCCCATGTTTGCCTATGCTTCAGCTTTATCTACTGGCCTTCCTAATTCCAGAGGCAAAAAAAAAAAAAGAAAGAGATCCTTAAAAATCTCCTGCTGGGACCAAACAGAAGGAAAGAAGGAAAGAAAGAGTAAAGGCTATGACAAGTGCAGCAGGAGGGAGGGTCTCCCTCCAAGAGGCAGGGCCTGCTTGACACTCTCTTAGTGAGAATGCTATCTAAACTTACCCACTGGACCCCACCCTGTCTTGCCCAGCCTCTCTTGACCAATGGCCTCAGAGTCCTGGGGAGGGGGAAGGGGTGCAAGGTCCAGGGCAAAGAATAAAAGGACGGGCCTTCAGCCCCTTGAGCACACTTCCGCACACCTGCAGTCATCTCCAAGCCTCCAGACCACACACCATGGT